CCCAACCCCCACCTACAAGACTGGTTTCTGGAGCCTTCCCTTCTAGTCCTTGCCTATTCTTTCCTGGACAGTTTTTTTTCAGCAAACCTTTGCGGATCCTTAACATTCTGCTGCTGCTAGAGGGCGCTGTCATTGTCTACCAGCTGTACTCCTTAATGTCCTCAGAAAAGTGGCACCAGACCGTCTCGCTGGCACTCATCCTCTTCAGCAACTACTACGCCTTCTTCAAGCTGCTGCGGGATCGCCTGGTGTTGGGCAAAGCCTACGCGTACTCAGCCAGCCCGCAACGGGATCTGGACCACCGCTTCTCCTGAGTCTCCAGAGTGACCCCTGGGACAGCATCCAGGCTTCAGCCAGGGTCTCTGGGAAGGGGCTGTTGGGGAGGGATAGTAAGGGGCAAAACAAAACAAAAAACCGACAAAAAAAAAAAATCCACCAGAGCTTTGTATTTTTGTTACATACTGTTTCTTTCTTTGTAATTGATGTGATTATGAGGAAAAAAGTCCTATTTTTATACTCCCAATTAGCTTGTGTCCTGTATTTCTTTTCCTTCTGGACTGACACAGCAGAGGTGTGGTCAGTGGGGTTCTGGACTGGGAAGTCCCAAGGGTGGCTTCCAGGGCCCCTGTGGGCTCAGCCTTCTCCAGTGGAGAGATGAGCAGGCACTATGGGTCATGGTAGTGGTGATAGCCGGGAGCTCAGAGAGCTTACGTGACTTGCCCCAGGTAACACAGCTAGGAAGTGGCAGAGCTGAGCACAAAGAGTCCTCTGGCAGTGGACACTACTATCCTAGCAGAAGGTGATGTGCGGAGTCATCATGCAGACACAGCCCCGCTCTGTGCCAACTGCTCTGGTAGGTGGTGAGAGTGCCTACTACACTGTGATGGTCTAACAGTGACAATGTACACAGGAGCACAGCAGGGAGGATGCCCTCCAGGCTTTCTGGGGGAGGGACAGCCTGAGTTCTACAGCTCTTTCCTGGATGGATAAGGAGGAGGAAAGGCATTTCAAGTGAAAGAATGGGCCTAGGCACCAACAGATCTGGAACACGCTGGTAGTGTTTGGGGAGGGAAGAGAATAGTTTCCAAAGCAAGAAGGTATGAGGAAGGTGTGGCTGATGGGGTGGGGCTGGAAAGGTTTGCCCGGGCAGGATCTGGGAGGACAAATGGCCCTAAGCTAGGGAGGTTATGTGAAACCAGCCAAATCCCGAGTAGACACAAAGAGGATTGGAGGGTCACCCCGCTCCGGCTCTGTGGAGCAAAGCTGAAGGGCCCCAGGAGCTGGGAGAAGAGACAAAGTCTTAGCCTCCCATCAAGTCAGCCCTAGTTTCTTAGTTTTTTCCTTGAGCCCCTGCTGGCCACAAGACATACAGATAATGGTGTATGGGAGACAGACACTGCAAAGAATACTTTGGGGACTGGAGGCAGGAATGGTGCTAGGCACAGGGACTGAAACAGGACGATAATGCCCCTTCAATACCTGACCAGGAGGGGGAGCCACACCTTGTGAGCAAATTAGGGTACTAAGTGCTAAGGAAAAGTTGTCCCAAGCAAAGAGGATAGATGTAGAAAGAGGCTTTTCTGAGGAGGAGAGTTTTGAATTAGGTGTTGACATAAGTTCATATCATAGAGGGAGGGAGTTAACAAATGTGGATGGAGCATGGGTGGCTGGGTGCGGAGTAGCTCAAGAAGCCAGTAAGGGCCAGCTTGTGAGGAAGAGTGAACTGTCTGGGCATTACCTAAGGGCAGACAGTAGGAAACTGCTAAGCAGAGGGGAGTCACGATGAGGTGGCTGCTGTAAAGAGACAGTGGGTGCAAGCAGAGAGCCTGGAGACAAAAGTCTTGAGAGTCTTTTGCCATGGCCTAGGACGGAATGAAGAATTCTGACCTTGAGTAGAAGCTCAAGTAGGAAGAGAGCTAGGGAGCACTCCCTTTCCAGACAGCTTGGCTCCAGAGTTTGCCTTTCGAGTTGTTTTCCTTAAAGGATCAGGCACACACTAGAGTTGACAATTTGTTCAGCTTCCAAAAGATAGGCCCTGCCTGGGACCAGTGACAAAGAAGTCTTCTGTGGAAGGAATGCCGTGCTGTGATGCAAAGAGGGAAGTCTGATGCGGACCAGCCATAAATCCCACAATTCAAATGCCACATGAATACTTAGGACCTCAACGTCTTCATCTCCAAAAAGGGAGAACTTGTTTCTTGTGTGACTTACAAGTCTGTTTATTCATTTTTTAATTCAATCAACAATTGTTTGTTTATAGAGCACATACTTTGTGCCAGACACAGTCCTAGGGGCAGGAGCTGCAGTGATGGACTGCACAGAAGCTACCCAGGCCCTCAGGGAGCTATCTGAAGATAAACGCTTAGCTTGTTCCTTGGCTTATCTCTATACCCTGGAGCAAGTAATTTTTCTTCTCCAGAAGATTTCTTCTTCACATTCAGGGTCTCTGCATGGCTTAACCTAAAGGCAAAGATAGGTTTTTGAAGAAAAAGCTGCTCAGGGAAAAGGCCACTATAAGAAACTGAAAAGGCTGAGAACTTTTAGGCACATAACTTCATTTAGTAGCTATCTCCCCTACCCCGGCCTCTCTCACCCACTCCTTTCAAGTTTCAGCCCCATTACCTGCCTTTAGTGGGCGCGTTCTCTTTAAGTGGGATCCTCGCAGTAAACTACCCGGAGGGGCTGCGAGCGCGTTTCTTTCCGGATTGAATGTGAAGTTGTTTGTCCGTGTGGGGCTGCCGTCCTGCAGGTCCGCCATATTGTCTGGTGAAGCTGCCGCCGAAGCTGCCGCCGCTGCCGCCGCCAAATAGGAGCGAGCGGAGCCGCGATGGGTGAGTAAGGAAACCAGGCGATCCTGGACTCGAAGTCAGGCGGTGTTGGGGTGTAGGGTCTGGCGAGAGCTGGTCCCGTGTCCGCGGAGGATGCCTGAGCCCCCTCCAGATAGGTTTGAGCGGAGAAGCCAGGCCGGGAGTGCCCCCCAGGCCAGTTTGGGGCCCGCCTGGGGGAGCCTGCTTGGCGGCCGGTTCCGGGAGCACCTTGGCACGCCCGAAGCCCCCACGTGGAGGCCTCGGGCCGCGGCCCACGCATTCCCGGGGGCTGGGAAGAGGCCGACGTTCCAGCCCGTGCCGAAAACGGGCTGGGGGCCGGGCTCGGGCAGCAGGCCCAGGCGGAGCAAAGGGAGCCCTCTCCCGGCGTGTGTTTGACCCGCACGCGTCTTGACTGGATTCCGAGGCTCCCCGGACTCGGGCTGTGCGACCGACGTCGCGGGTTGAGCCCTCCGATGGGGGGAACGCCGGCGAGCCAGCTCCGGCCCCGTGAGCGGGGGCAGCCGGGCCGAAGGTGGCCGGGGCCGCGGGAGGCCGAGGGAACTTCCTCAGCTGGGGCGGAAATGGGCTGGTGCGGCGGGGCTCGCAGTGACACCCTTCGTGGTCAGGCCGAGACCTCGGGCCGCACGGAGCTCGGGGGCTTCGCGTTTCTGGACTGTCGTTAGGAGAAAAGGAGCGGGCGACCTGTTGCTGTTTTTGAAGGAACTCCGCCAGCGGGGCCGGCGCTCGGAGACTGATAGCGCAGGCTCTGGGGTGGCCAGCGGGGCGCATGGGCTCTGGCGGTGAACTGTTCCCCTCGCCCGGCTGTTCCAGTGTGCAGGCGCGATTCTGCTTGCTGTGGACGGCCTGTTCTGCTTGCTGTGCACAGGCTCTATGAGATCGATTCTGATGTCACGCCTGTTTTACAGATAAGGAAACTGAGGCGCGGAGAGGTAAAGTGACTTACCCAAGGTCACACAGTTTGTGGCTAACCCAGGGGGATCACTCCAGAGCGCTAGTTATAGCTGCTGTGCGCTCTAGTCCGGCCCTCTAGTGGCTGGATTGGGCAAAGGGGGAGGAGTGCTTGTCACCCTAGGCAAAGTTACAAAGGTGTTCGGTATTTTTTGCTAGTGGGTCTCCTCTGAAATCTTAAGTATAAATGAAACTGAAAGGCTCCAAAGTGAATTACTTATCCCAGCTCGTGAGAGAGAGAAAATGTGCGTGAGTGAGTGAGTGTGTGTGTGTTTGGGGGGAGCTAGGTGAGATTCTGGGAGTTTTGTAAGAGCCCTGATCCTGAGGAAACAAATTCCCTTGAACTACAAGGCAGTGACTTTGGAATCAGGCCTTCCACTTTTTAGCTCTCACGAAGATTAGTCACTTAAATATCAAAGTGCAGCAAAGCACATGAAAAGTATCTAGCACAGGTCACAATAATGTTACTTCCCTTAACTTTCTGAACTTGCCTTCCCTCTACCAGGGTGGAGGAGCAATATTATCAAGATTCTTGAGGGCTAACTGATTTTGGTATTTGGACCTAGTAAGGACTTGTAAATATCTGAACACCTTCAACAATGCTGGCTCCTCCCCCTTAAGCAGCTTTACTTTTAGAATCCTCCATGCACAGTGATCACATTGATAGGCCTGTCTTTGTAACTACAACTTTATGTATCAATAAAAAATTTTAGGGGTTTTATGTTGTAGAATTTGTGTTGGATTTCAATTTCAGGAACATTGTTGCCTCAGGGAAAAAGCCAATACTGGGTTTACTAACTTTAGTGAAATTAATTTAGTAGCAATTTACTCAGTTTTTACACATTGGAAAACTACCTTAGAGACCTATAACACAGCTGGTGTGTTGTACAAGCACCAAAGCCAGAAATAAGATACTTGCCCATTTTGCTGCTCATAAACTCTTAAAAAAATACCTAAATTTTTAAAGGTTAAGTAAAGTTAGTTCATTTCTGGTAGATCCAAGATGGACATGTTTTGGTAGAGTAACACAGCCTCACCAGGACCCTGAAGGATACTCTTGGTCAAGTCAGGCACTCTCACCTTTTCTCTCCAGCTCCATTCCCAGTACCTCTGCCCTGTCCCACCTTGTCTTTGGGTCCAGACAGTCTAACTGTTAGAATTTGGTTTTGGCTTTGGTTTGTTAATTTATTTTTGCTCATCTTAGTAACTTGGTAATGAAACCAATATAAGGATATGTTTAATCTTAACATTGAATCCAAGTTAGTTTCCAAACGAGTATACCGGACATTGGAAAGATGTCTTCTTCTTTCCAGTTTTTGAAAACTTTGAAGGTGCCTGCTTCAAAACTAGGCCTGTTGGTTGTTGGGAACATTAACACAGCCTGCATGTACATCTCCATGAGTCTGGAACCTGCTCCATTTCACCGCCTTTCAGTGTGTTTACCTTGCATTCTAAATACACGATAGATGATTTCTTCTGTGCCAAGCCTCATCAGATCGTTACAGTGATTTTTCCCTCACTAAAGAGCCTTTTTTCAGGGGGGTGCTTACCGTTCTGAAAATTGCTTATTTTGACCCTCCTCAGCAGAACCACAGCCCCTCAAAACCAAGTTCTGGTAGACAGTGTTTGATCACCATTCCTTGCTAACCAGGAATCTGACCCATGTCTGCCCCTTCCCTCCCAAGGTTTTGATTAATGTAAACTAAACCACTCCTAATTTTGCCTCCCTGGGTAGTGATTGATTTAGGCCTGGCCATGTGATGCAGTTCTGGCTAATTAGATGTGAAGGGAAACCTGGAGCACTTCTGGAAAAGTCTCTTACTTAAAAGAGATTAGTCAGGTTTTGTTTTGTTATTCTTTAATAGCTTATATATTTTATTTTATTTTTATTTCCACATTAAAAAATTATATATGATAGTTTATTTTTACATCATTTTGTGCATTTTTTCACCTCAGTTGTAATCGTGGACTTCCCATCACCACATCACTCTGTACCATCACGATAGTCCCGTGCACTTCCCTCCCCTCACTGTTTTTGATCCCATCCCCCACACCACCCCCACAAAATGTCTCTGGTATATGGCTGTTGATTATTATTATTTTCTCGCCTGGTCCATTATACTCCTGCTATGAGTGAAACCATCCGGTATTTTTCCTTTTCTTTCATGATCTTTTCCAGCTCCATCCATGTTGCTGCAAAAGGCATGTGTTTATTTTTGTTGTTGTTGTAACAGCTTATATTTTAAGTCAGGTATCACTCAAGTGTGAGCACTAACACGAATGTAAAATTTGCTGTGGGTTGGGCACTCACTCAGGACCATACTATCAACTCATTTAATTCTCAGATTATCAGGTTATGCATGAGAACTGAAGTACAAAGAGGTTCAATAACTTTCACAAAATCATAGCTAGTTAAATAGAAGAACCACATGCTCAAATAGTGTGGTTCCAACCAAAATATAGGATTGAGCCACTGAATTAGCCAACTTGGAACTTTTCTCTCTCTGGACTGTGGAAGGCCACTGGAGTTGGCCTTTGAATACAAATAACATTACCTTCCTAACTCAGAACCCTTCCTAGTCAGATTAGCCCATCGCTTTTTAGTTTCCCTCCAGCCTTGCCCATCCACCCCACAGTGCTTTCAGAGAAATCATCACCAACCACCTACCTGAGTGTCCCACCCACAGCATCATTGCCTTAGTGCCTTTCCCTGACCTGCTTCTCCTGCTTGTTAAAAGGCGGTGTCACTGGTCCAGACACTAGGACATGGACCTTCATTCATCTTTGGTTCCTTAGTCTTTTCTCCATCTTTTTTATACTGGCAATTGTTGAATATTGTACATTCCCGGTTAATGAGGTTGCTTTGCTGTAGGTTTTTCTGAGAGCATAACCCCACAAAGAATATTGATTCTGTAGTCTTTAACCTTGCTGAGTCTCTGGCTCCTCAAATTGAAAATATTAATGTCGATGAACATGTTAAAAATCTTTATATCTGTAAAAATAAACTTTGTAATAAAAAAAAAAGAAAAAAAATCTTTATATCAGGGTGCTTCCTGGTGGAGCAACGGATAAGGATGCAGCATTGCAAGTTTGACCACAGCTGCTGTAGTGCGAGTTAGATCCCCAGCCCCAGAGGTGATCCACATGGCATGGCAGACCTCTCCTGACCTGTCCCCTGCTCCCCTCAGCAGTGTACATTGTCGATCTGCCTGTTCTTTTCCCCATTCTGTCTCTGGTGAATCCTCCCACCAGCCCTGTACCTCTGGCTTGTACCCCAGTTCTGTATGCATAAATAAATAAATCTTTAAAAAAAATCTCCATATCAAAAGATACTGTAAATTGTAAGTGTTATTCAGAAGCCTTCCAAATCTCTCCCCTACCAGTACCAGTTCTGCTGTAGCCAAATACTCCTCATCTTAGTTAAGGATCTGTTTATTAGCTAATTCCTTGCTGTTCACAAGATAAAATTATAACCCTGCAGTATGACATTCAAGGCTTTCCTATTGACTTTACTAATTTTATTCCATTAAGATATATTCTACAGTCTACTCAGAGTACTTTCCTTGTTCCTTGGCATTCCTGGAAGAGAAAGTCAGAAGCAATTCTTTCTCCATGTATCTTTTCTTAGGGAAATTTTGTGTTACTTTATTCTTTTTTTATTTTTAATGTATTTATTTATGCATACAACAGCTAGAATGCAGGTGGGGGAAGGGAACAGTGAGAGGATTCACCAGAGACAGAATGGGGAGCAGATCAGGCGGATCTACTGAAATACACTGCTGAGGGGAGCAGCAAGCAAGATAGGAGAGGTCTGCTGCGCCTTGTTGGTCACCTCCCTGACCAGGGATCAGAAGTCTTGATACAGTCGCTGTGAATAGCTTTATAGTGCTGTGGCTTAACCCATTGTGCCACCAGGGAGGCTTACTTCATTCTTTAATAGTAGTTCTCCAACCAGTTACTTATTTTGGGGCTTATTTTCCTCATCTCTAAAATAGGGATGGCAGTGTCTACCTCTTAGGATTGTTGGGATTAAATGAGCTAATGCATATAAAGCA